GGGGAAGCGTTGCCCCCCCCAGAGCCGCTCATGGCGGTGGCTCTTGGTTTGGGGATGGCGGGTTTTTCAGGTAGCTGCGTCTCCACAGGTCTGCGCTGCAGCGTGAAGTCCCAGAAATGGGTGTCCTCCCCTCGGTCTAGCCCTGCGGAGGCAGTTTAAAAACATCCTACAGCCGCCTTGCCACCTGCAGGCTCCCCAAGATCAAAGCCAAATTATCGGGGTTTGTAGGTGAATATTTTTGGAATTAGAAAAGCCATAGGTGAGTTAGGAATAGAGAAGCACTGAGAGTCACATTAATTTGGAAATTACTTGTGAGGTGGTTTTATTCTTATGAATTGAATATGGGAAGGGTTAAAGCAGAGTGAAGAGTTGCTTGAATACATGAGTATCCGCTGATGCTATTTTAACAATTCCAACTCTTCTAGGTTTCGATCTGAGGCAGTTGTTGAACAAAGGAGGAACGAAACTGTGTAAAAAAGGTGCTAAGTTGCTATGCCAAACATTGCATGGGAGCAGGGAAACATTCTGTCTTCCCTCCCGCCCTTTTTGAGGAGGACGGGGGATTTCTGGAGAGCGTACGAATGTATATATTGACAGAAACTGAGAAAGTGGGTTGTGCTGCGCAAGGACCGTCTGAGGAGTGTTATGTTATATACAGTAATGCATTTGACAAGGTAAATATTTTTCAGGTAAATGAGCAATAATAAATAAAAAGTGGTTTGCTGCTTCTTTGTCTTCTGGGGGAAAAGGGTATAAGCAGACTGATTGTGACCTGTTGGTGTAGTTACAGAAATCAAAGATTGGTGTATTTTCACCTGGTTTTTGTGCCCCGTCTATATTGCGGTCAAATAGAAGCCACTACAATGAATTCATACCACCAGAAGTTAACAGTGGGGTTCATGCTTGATAACCACTTTTCCTAACTTTATGGCAGTTTTGAAATGATAAAAGCATTATAAAGCTGTCCTAAACCAGGAGAAAATCTACATAACTAGCAAGACCCATGACATGTACCCCATATGCCCTGTATTAGCATTAACGGCTCTTCAGTTGTTACTGCTGAAGTTCCTGAAGGACGCCTGCCTGCCTCATTGTGTCTGCCTTTTTCAGACGCTGACGGAGATGAGACATGCCAAGAATAAATAAAGATTCTCAGTTTTTCGAGGAGGATGGGAACATGGGTTGCTGGGTCTGCTTTTAAATCTTGAGTTGGACTGCTATTTTAAGACATTAAAATGCACAGCCCCTGCCTCCTTGGTTTTCCACACCTGTAAGTGCTAAGGACATTTAGTGCCCATCTAGAGAAAATGTCTTTTATTACATGGAAATGGTTGCTGCAGCTGTCTAGATAAATGCTGATTGCCTTCGTTTTTAATAACATTTGTGATGATCGAATCTGAGGTAAGTTTAGGGGCTGTCTTTCACCATGTAAAGTTTTTCTGTATTTTCATCATCTTGAAGAATGTTACTTGCTTTTGGAGCTGTTTTTTATTATATTAGAGCAGTGCTGTGGAGCTTGCTCTAAGGAGTATTATTTTGTCTATTTATTTTATTTTGAACCTATCATGCTTATTAGAAGGTTCCAGAAAGTTGTTCTTCTGTTCATTCTCTCCATATAAATATAGTGTCCAAAAATACATTCACAGGTAATAGAGTACGTCACTGCATACAAGAATATCCCGACTTCAATCAAACAGAAATATGAGGCATTTGTTGCCAGAATCAAGAATGGCCAAAGGAATGCATTTTTCCTTCACAGGAGATTAAAAGCTCTGGAATCTGAGTCCACGACTCTATTATACTATAGGAAAAAGAGCAACGGAGCCTGAAGACAAGTTAGTTATCTCTAGTAATGTTTAGAGCAAAATACGTTGTTTTAATTAGTACATGAATAATTTAGTTGTAGCTGGCTTCTCTCGTTTGTATTTTTTAAATGTTTCAATTCTTGTTTTGTTTTTATATGGAAGCTGCCGATGATTGTGTAAAACCTTGCTAACGTGGTGTTAGATTTCTGCTCTTCTCATCCTGGTGCTGATTCTTGTGCAGTCAAACTTGAGGTGTAATCAGCAAAGGCTTTGCTTGCAGAAAAACTGGAGGATCCGGCTTGGAAGTTAAACACACACAGATTCTCTCCACCTGTAAAAACAGTATAGCCTCCAAGTGAGACTATTGCGTTGCTGAAGTGCACTGTCTGAGGTAGAGAAATACAGAAAAGTGAGCGAATTGTGCACTTTTCTCATTTACTGTCTTATATTGAGGACATTGTGTAGCTGCACGTATGTAGCAGGATTCTCAAGAGAGCCAGTTACCTTGCCATATGCAGTCTGAAGTAGAACAATATGGCTAACTGGGGGCACAGGCTTCACTGAGAACAGCGGAACAGTGCGACAGCAAGCCTAGTTCAACAGCTTTTGGTACTGATATCCTTGCAACCTGATGCATAAGAAGAACAAGGTAACAGCTCCTGTTTTACAGGGGTTTGGGGAGCTTTTTTGTGGCTTTTTGTTGGTTCGTTTCTTTTTTTCTCCAGAATAAAAGCTCTTCAGAAGAATTCTGCAAAAATTAAAAACATAATATTGGAAATTTATAATGTAAGAAAGATACCCTCTGAAACCTTTGGTACCTCAGAGAAAACAGCACATCCTCTTAAGCCCATCCCAGGTAAATCCAATCTTCTGCTGGTTTGAGAGTTTCTTCTAGATTAAGTATTTTTTAAATAATGATATAAAACCAAACCAACCAAACAAAAAAACTAAGCCACCCAGAATAGTGCAATGTATCAGCAAAATGCAGATCCGTTTGCTGGAATGCAGAACAGCAGCGACCCAGTAGACAGAGGGAGGTGCAGACTGGAAGAATATTTCAGCAGGTCTCTGCTGTCGTGGGAAGCTGTCCGTGAGGGGAGGTGCAGCCTGCATTACTCTTACCAGCCGGCTTTGCTGCCCGCAGCTGGGAGCTCATGAAAGGCATTTTCTTCGCCCACAGGCCTGAGCGTAGAAGAATCACTCAGCTTGGATTCCCTTTCTAAACATCTCGCTCAGTTAGACTGACAGGTGCTGGAATTGAAAAAGAAAGGGGGGAAAAAAAGTCTATCCCTCGGCAGAAAAAGACTAAGTTGGAACAAAAACTCGGGCACTTACTGGCCTTATGAGATAGAGCTGAAGCAAAGAGAGAACAGCTGAAGCTCAGGTTCAAGTCCATATCTGCAAATATTTTTAATTTAGATGTGTTCCTTATGTCGCCTAGACTTTTTTTTTTGGTCTTATGGATTGAGGTTCCGTACATTGATCAATTATGAACATACGTACTGTTGATACTATGATGAAGACTTCTTGATTTGGATGGCTGTGCTGATCGCGTACATCTTTCCCTCTAACTATTCACAGATATGCTGGAATTTTGTTAGTTGCAAATGCTGTTTCTGCATGTTTCTTGTCTTCTGACAAGATTGTCACCTGGCAAGATCTCTGCTTTCAGATCACGAAAAATAAAAAAGATGAACGAGGTAAAGTCATTAAAAATGAAACGTCAGAACAATTGAGGATAAGAGTATGAGACTAGGCAATCGGCAGTAGTGGGCTAAGAGTTTAGTCTCTAAGATGGTATCTTTTATTCCTATCTGGTAACTTTTGAGGACACTGGCGGCAAAACTGAGTTTACTGGTGCTGTAAAAGGTGTTTCCTAAACAATTATCTGCTTAAGGAGATGGTTTCAGTTCTTTTAAAATAAAAAAAAAAAAAGAAAATATTTTCAGTTTAAAAAATAAGTTTTCATATAAATGTATCAGTTGATAAAGTTCATGTTGTTTGTTTTGTTGTTTGTTATTTTTTAAATGCTCTAACACTTTTAACTGATTTGCTTGTTGAGACAGTAATGTGGTTATCCTCGACTGCCATGTTTTATATTGTAGCTCTTGATGTCCCTAGTAAAATGTCTGAAGATTCACTTGAATATTTTGAAAGGTAAAAAGAATGTGGTTATTGTGCTCTGCATTAGCAGTTTGCAGTATCGTAGTTAATGCATCATATTGAATGCAGTCCTTCCAGGACACGTTCTTTTTGTGACCCTTTTGCTGTTGGTAAAAAGTGCTGAGGTTGCAGCCATGCATGTGAAGTCAATTGTTTATCAATGTTCAGAGGTTCTTCTTTGGCCCTTTTTCTAAAAGGACTGAAATTGAGGAGACCGGCTGTTCTGTGTGTTGTGAAAGCTGACGAGCTAATCTGAAATATATTTCTGTGCGCACAGGTGAAAATGCACAAGTTTTCGTTATGGACGCCTCCAGAAGCACTAGCTAGGGAGGCAGAAGACATGTAACTGGATGTCTGGAAACAAAATTGCTGCTTTGTACTGGAAAACGGTGTGATGAAGATATACTAGGTTTAAATATGTATATTTTAAAGGGATGTATTCTCAGTGTTTGGGCTTCTTGACTAGAATGCTATACCGTCGGCCAACCATTTTATGTATGTATATGTGTATTTATTTAGTGTTTAATGTTCTGTATTTTTTTTCTTCCTCTTTCCTAGTTTCAGTGAATTACTTTCAAATGGTCAGTATGATGCTGCGGCAACTCACACAGAAAACTCTCTGAGGGGAATTCTCTGTAACAAAGCAGCTCTGAAGTATCTTAAACGTAAGAACTTGATAATTAGGTCCGTTCTTACAGGATTTTAGTTGATGTCAGTCTAGTAATTTCAGTGCTTAGGAATTTGGGCTTTATCAAATGAGAATTGTTTGTGTGGGTTTGCAGCTTATGTTTCATATTCCAAGCTGAAGATAAGAAACGCTGTAAGGTTTTTTTTTCCTCCTTTGTTGTATGTTAAGGACATGCCCGAAGAGGCAGAGAGGGAGATGGCAAGCTGACAACCACTGCTTTTCTTACTGTTGGTGAGGTGTTGGGTTAAGCAGTCATCTTAAGGCCTAGTATAAAGCTGTTCCTAACGCAGTGCTGAAACTGTTTTATTTCTACTGATAAATTGTGTACAACAGACAAAAGCAAAGGTCTACCCGCTAGTTTGAAAGTCCCATCCTTATTCTTATGTGTGTTAATTACTCAAGCTTAGTCTTTTCAGTCATAAAGTCATAAAGTAGTTAGATTCATTAAAATTCGTTTCTGAAATCTAAGGTATATAAAAACTATTGATGATTTTAAATATCCCAGATAAATGCAAAATAGTCTTTACAATTTCATCTTCCTCTCAATGTTTTTGTTTGCATTTGGAAACACAAAAGTCACTGACATTGGTGATGTCAGAGACGGAAGCAGCAGAGTATTTTGTCCTTCCTTTGGAAGGAGCCACGGGAGCATTGCTGAACTTTACGACATCAGTGGGTTTTTTTTCCTCTGCGTATTTTATTGGCTTTTGTTCAAGTTTTAAAGGCAATAAGTGAGAGAAAGACTGTGATAAGCTAGTATTCAGGATCTGAATTAAAAAATTTGTAGTCTCAGCAGCAGATGTTACATTTTCTGTATTCTGACTTGCAAAACTGTATGTTTTAAAGACCCCAGCACCCCACAACCACCCCCGAGATTTAATCATTACCTGTCAATGGTAAAATACTGTCATGAGCCCTCTGCCTTCAGTTTTGACCAGCCTTCATTTGGAGTAATTAACAAAGCATCTGCTATGACTCAGCCTCACAAAAGATTTAGTCAGAATTTTGTCAGAAGCATTTGGTGGGTATCAGCAAACAAAGTCTAAAACTTCAGAAGTCTTAAATAGTGAAAGATACTTCTCTGGGTGCTCAGCCAATGACTTTTGTTTTCATCCCTTTAGCTGTTAGGTGCCCTAAAGGAAGAAATCTCCCTTTGCTGAAGTATTTTGACACTGATAATCTCAAGTACTGCAGCTGGACACCTTCCAAATTCAGCCATAACTCTGGAAGCAATCAAATGTGCATTGTCTGAAAAGCAATTCCATCTGGTAACACACTGGGTTAAACAGCAAAGGTTTGTGGTTCTTCTGCACTGAGATTGGCGGAGGGGTGTGCCATCCTCTGTTACTTCCCAAGTCATGAGGCTTTGCCTTTTCTTCAAAGTAAATCCTGTCAAACAAAACACGACCAAAAATATATTAATGGATGTCTCTTTTTATTCTTTTGTTAAATCCTAAATTCAATAAAAGCATAGACCAAACCAGCAATATCAACAGCTCCTTCTGAAGGACGCGTTTTGTTTTGGTTGCGGTCAGCCTTTCTTACGGCATTGTAGACTCCAGTGGTGTTTGAGACTCTTTTCTCTTACACTGTACTTAAAAACTATGTGGATATAAGATTTTCACAGCCTTCTGTGGATTAAAAAAACCATAATTACTAGGATATTAATTTCTTTCATTTTATTGTTGATGTCAGTACCAGATCCACAGTTTCAAACACAATTAGACTAAAAGCATTCTTAAACTATAAATCCTACACCTGCACTTGACCTCTGTTTTTCCATTTATGGGTATAGGATACAATAATTTTGAATTTCTAGAAATGCATCTGTTTCTGCGTTTTTGATTTAGAGAAGACTTTAAGCTGTCAGAGAGATGTTTTCCTAATCCAGTGTAGATTTGTCTGAAATGGTGAAAATTGTACTAGAACAGTTTGGTATTAAATGAACTGTAATGGGTGCCTCTCTGCAGAAAGACTCCTGTGAAGAGCGACAGCATTCTTGAATGCTAGCCCGTATTTTAGTTTTAAATTGAGATTCTAAACCACCTTGTATTAGGATCAAAATACCACTTCTTTGTTTCAGTCCCAACCTATAACCTATCCTACTAATGCAAAAAACCTGTTACAGCCTGCTTTTTTGACATGCTGAAATCATCATTGTTCTTATGGTAATAAGAGCTAGCTAATTACATCATCACACTGAAACAGTGTTTCTCAAGCCATGCTTTATGACCACCTTGGGAATCATAAAACATTACTAAATGCAATGTTAGTAGACAACAGCTTAGTTCCTCTAGGGTGGAAGAGAGAAAAGCAGTGTGTTGTTTCTAGTTTCAAGTATTACAAATGTTTACAGTAGTCGGGGAACCGCAAATTGCTTTTAATTGTTTGCTGGAAAAGCCTGTTGAAAAATACTCTTACTGAAACATAACATTGCCTTGTTTGTATAGGTAAATAGGAGCTTTACCTCCTATTCTAAAACTATAAAGTTCCGTACTGACTTTAAAATAGTCTTTTGCAAATACTAAAAATAAGTAAATAAATCCTAAACCACTTGGATTGCAGGCAAAACTGGTAGCAGCACCTGTAGCAGACAGGTTACCTAGCACTTGACAGTACAAATCCCTGTAGTTGCCACACTTTTTTGCTGCACTGTATTGTATAATAATTGCCACACTATTGTGCCACTGTAAGTGTGGCAAAATTTTACCCATTTCCCATTCCTGTGTCCTATGGTAGAATTTCTCAGGGAAGTATTAAAGCCAGCTGAGCTACTTTTGAGAGTCATACTACAAAATAGCTTGGTTTTGTTAATGTGACAAAATTTCCTCCACTCTTTCTTTGAATCTTCTTTGTACTTTGGAGAAAATGTGAAGTTGGATAGCAAGCTAAATGGCTCCGGGCGTTGCCATCTTCTGTTCTTCTAATAATCCCTGGAAATCCGACTAGGCTTTTAAAACGCACTTTTTTTGACATGTTCCCCTGAGTTTATTGTGAGACTGACAACAACAATCACAAATACCATCAGTACTGAGTAGACCTGCTTTCGCAGGCTGTGCTGTGGAGCCCGCAGCAGCGGCCGCTCCGCTCCATCAGAGCCTGGGAACAGCACAAGCATTTCCTTATTCCTGAAACCAGCCTTGAATCTCCCATGTCCAGGAACGCTGTAAGGCTGCAGTTGTTCCTCCCAACTGCCAGGGACTGGAATTGGGGTAAGCCCTGAAAGAAATATCCTGTCGCTTCCTATTGCTTTCAGTGGTCTTACAGCCCTCTCTGCTGCAGTTGGGACATTAAAGAAGAGAAGGAAGAGGCTGCTTTCTCAAATATAGAGAATCAAGGCTGCGAGAGGGGCGGAAGAGCTGAAAGGGGTATAGCTGAATACTTACACATGTAGAAATACGCCCATCTACACAATCCACTTCTTGTAGCTTGTTTTGAAATATTCCAAAGTTACAGAACACATTAGTAATGCTGGTTTGTTTTATTACCTTGTCTTCTTCAGGTTAATCTTTTCTGAGGCAGCAGGAGATGGTATTTTTGGCTATGGGAAAGTGGAACCAAGCGACGAGTCAAAATGCCTGGCTTTGGCTCAGGTTGCGTATGGTCAGTCTGGCGCACACAAAAAAGTTGCTCTGTGCCTACGTAAGCTGGACCGAATTTCTGGAGCAATGGGTTATATTCAGCAACTGGAACATTTTTATTCAGGTAAATAATAAGGCTCTTGTATTGTCTGTCATGATTGTTCTACAATATATTTATTTCAGGTTTAACAGCGATGTTTTGGACCACGTTTGAACAGAAAGCATTTGAAGTGAATACAAATATCTGAACTTTTGTCATTTTGTTTACCAAGACGTCAAGAGCTCTGTTAAAATGTCCCTGTGTATTTTATTGTAATATCAATACATGCATGTTCTGACGAAGTAAGGACTGACTTTTTGTACACCTGCTGGAAAATCTCCACAGCGTTTTGGCAAGGAGCCCGATAGGAGGCTGTGGGGGTTCTCAGAGCCTACAGTTCTAAAACCAAGGCCCTTACCTTCAGTGCCTGCAACTCCCCTGTCATTTGATTGCTCTTATGGGTTTCAGAAGTCATTCTGAGTGCAATCGGCGATTTTGGCCTTTAAGCTTTTTCAGTTAAAATAAACACTGTTTTTCTTACGGGTCTTTAATTTGATCAGCTGTTTTTTTTTTTTTTTTTAACTCAGTCTTAGGATTTATAATCCATCTATAAAAACAGTGAATGATTTGTGCAGTATGCTTAATATGAATAGCACAAAGCTTATTAGGGCAAATGTAGGATCTGTAAATGTGGTTTGTTTTTGGTTTTTTTTATATGCATTGGAACAGGTTATTCTACATGATACCGTCTGTACTTTGGAAGACTGGAATAAGATAGAAGTTGCTTGTGCAGAAAATAAGCATGAAAAGTTATCTCAGAAAATGGTGTCGATCCTCACCTCGCAGGATGGAGCGTTTGAAAATTCGTCCCTTGAAGATGAAAAAGATGCCAGGATAAGGGAACACGTTTGCTGGTAGTTTTTCTGTGTAACAGCAGAGGGAGCTCTTACAGCAGGCAAGCCAAGAAACCTTCTAGTTCTTCGTATGAACCGTAGTAAACACTAAGCATGCGGAAACAGTGCTGGGAATTATTTTACCGTCAAATATCAGCTATTTGTCCCTTTTAATATGTCTGAGAATGCGTGCGTGTTTGTGTTTTGTGTAACTGGAAACGTATTCCCAGTGTAGAAGACAGTTGGCATATTGTACTCTGGAATGGTACGGTAAGGTAACGGTACGCATATTCTTGCCCTCTTGTTCTCAGCTTCAGTACAGCGTGTCTGTCCTTGAGCAGAGCGCTGGAGGGAGGTACCGCGCAGGGTTTGGAGTCAGCGTGGGTACGGGAAGCTGCTCCGGGCGGGTCTGAGGGAGCTGGACAAAGGGCAGTGGGCAGTGTAGACATACCCTGGTGCCTTGGGCTTTTGGGGTTTTTTCCTGATAGGCCAGAAGGCTTGCTTCACTACAGTCATAATACAAGGCATAGCATCAAGATAATCTAACAAATCCTGCCAAAATACAACAAATGTCTACTTAGAGCAAAGTTAGTGTAAGAGCCATAGGGGAACTTCGCTTAGGCTGATTCTGAAGAGGCGGGTAATTCAGTCTCAGGGAAGGGAAGATGTCCAACTGCAGTCCTACACCAGCAGATTCCCTGGGTGCATGTTGGCAGAGTCTCTTTTTAGCTCTCAGCCCAGCACCAATATGAACAGGAAGAATCCTGAATGTCAGTTACTGTTGTCGCTGTGCTACATGTTCCCAAATAACAGACATCTCTATAATTAAGCTAGTCATAACTACTGCTGTTTGTTTCAGTTTTAATACATTTTGGCACTTTTTAAAAGCTGCTGGGCCATATTTGTTATACGGATAAATCTGCAGAGTTAGGATTCACAAGAGAGCTTTCTTTAAAAGAGAAGAATTACAAGTCTACAGATACTGTAAGTATTGTGTGGATGAGGAACAGGGAAAGGTATGCAAGTTCAGTTTTCAACATGTAGAATAATATGTCCTGTAAATATAACCATTAAGTTAAATAGATAAATGTAGAGATATTTTCTGAAATAAATTAGTGTTAAATATTTTTTTCTAGTAATGCCTGCTACTTAGTAGTGTCTTTCCAAATGTTTGTGAATTATTACTGCTCTGAAGAGCTCGCAATTTATGCAAGTTTTATTAGGGATACACTGTTTGTAATGAGCATTAGAGCTTCTACCTCAAGAGTGGTTCAAATCTATCAAAGACTGGACAGGTTAGTAGCGCTTGACGTGTGTTCAGTGCTGTAGAAAAAGGTAAGTACTGTGACCCTGCGAAGTAGGGCCTTGCCGGGATGCTTTTGTAGTTGTCTTAGCTGATCACATCTTTTCCTAGGTCAGATTTTTTTAATCTGATGTAGCATTTGCCATACTCCATCTGCTATGCTGAGAGGGAATCTCTAGCATTTTTAAAAGTCAAAGGGCAGTTAATGTAATCCTGTTTGCAGGAGAGGGGAGAGAAAGAGGCGATACTATCAAAGGATGGTGAGAACAGAGATTTAAAACATTTATTAAAGCCTCAGTTTAAAGAACATGTTCAGGAATAAATGACTTAGGTGATGTCTACTTCATGTGTCATTGCAGCTGAACTTTGACAAATGTTCAAGTACATTTTCCCAGAACTACGGAGGGTGAACTACAAATTAAGAATGTAGTTTTCCCTTTTAGTGCTTTTCGCTATTCATGTTATTGAAATTAATGTAATCCTGCCATTATGAACGTGTATGCTGATGCAGATGCTCCAAGAGCAGTCAGGTGAAAAAGTCAACACTGGTGGCTTCTGTGGGATTTCTGAACACAGCACATCTACAGAACAGAGCCCCGAGCAAGTGCTTATGATTGGAAAACGAAGTACTGCACACTGTTTGCAAATACAGGCTAGCATACTTCGGAGACTGCTTGGTTTTATAAGAAACGCAGGGAGCACGAAATGTTTATTTTCCAGATTGAGATTGTTTTAGCTGTCCAGACTGTTATTTCTGTAACAGAACTAGAGCATTCGTTATTGACGCCTGATCTTTCCCTTTACTCAGCTTGACACCACCCGAGTGACCGCAGACTTCTGCACTTCTTGATTATGAAATACAGAGGAGTTGAATTCCATAGGAGAGCTTTTTCCAGAGTCTGGTATCATCACACATGATGAATGCAGAGGTCAATAGCCATTTCTCTTCCCACTTGGATCATTTAATTTAGTTACGAAGTTCTAGAATTTTACTTGTGACCAACTTGCATTGTAAAGTTCAAACCTGAAATACAATTAAATACCAGGCATAAGCAAGGGATCAGAAAGAATGGCCAAATATACTTTGTATGCCGGGAAAAGAAAGCAGGTAAAAACTCTCAGAAGTAGTAATACACCTTCATGGAAAAAATAGACAGGTGAAAATTGATTTATTATTATACATTGCTATGCCTACTGAAACTTCTGGTTCAGTTTTCTCATTTCATTTTATGCTGGTGGATGTAGATTAATTTTAATGGTGCTATTTGTTATACATGTAATGAGGGACAAAAGATCATAATCTGATTAGCTGTCACACTGATTATAAGATAAGATGGGGTAAGGGTTTGGCCTCAGATACACTGTATGTATCGTAACTCGATTTACAGTGTACCATACATCGGATTTTGACCAAAAGGGTCAAAACAGTGAATGAAAAGATCACTGACATTCTTACTGCACAAAAGCTGACATAATACCAGAAAGCAGTGCAGATGTAACTGCAATGCTCTCCAGAGTGATTTCATGGTTCTTGTTGAATATTTGCAGCAGCTGAAAAATGAAAGTGCTTGTTAAATCAAACAAGACAGCGATGAGCCAAATCCCAAAGTTTTGTTCTTTTTCTTTATAGCCATTTTTACTGTGCAGAAGTGATTTCTAGCAAGGATATGTGATCAAATGGCAGGCCTGAGGTACGTGCTTCTTCACTTGGCCTATTTACTTGCTAGCTGTTTTGGATTAAGCATTCTCTGGAAGTTTTAGAAATCACGCTACGTAAGAAAAACACAAGTGCAGTGTCAAATGTGTACTCTCTAGAGCAAACACAACTGGTACTGGAGAGGACTGTACTGGTGTTGCCTTATATGCCCTATTTTCCTTCTAAAGAACTTGGTGGCTCCCAATCCAAGAATCAGTTGCTAATCATCTGTTGGGATTTAAAGCAAGTTACATGTGTGTTTTATTCAGCAACCTTAAGAATTTTCAGTCACAATATGCTTTTAGCCAAAGTGTCTGTAAAAGCCACGTAGTATTTTAGTAATATTCAAACACCCAAAGTCACATATAAAGAAGAGATGGAATTTCAAAAAGCTAGAGACATCTGTAAATGCCTAAGCAAGTTTAAAAATCCATTCCTCACACAACTTTATGTCCCCAATCTCAGACGTTATTTTGAAGAAGAGTTACCCAGTTTCACAGATGAAGAAGTAGGAGAGCCGTCTTGTCATCTCGCTGGTAAGAGAGATTCTGAAACTTTTTTGATACTGGCAGTACTCACATTTCTCTTATTTATTAATCAAACTCAGAATGTATTGTTTTCCCAGTGTTTGACAGACTTTGGCTTGGATAAAACAGTCTGGTCAAAATATAATAAAGTGGCTGTGAGTTTTAAAAATACTTCAAGAATTAACAAAATTTACAGGTACACAGCATCATGGTCCTATGCAATTTATCGTTGCCAAGCTCTGACTAGCTGACTGAATTCCTATCTCTACCTGACTGGTGTGCTGCACTCCCCTCCTTCTCAAACACAAACTTCACAAAGGTCAGCCACAGAATTATGCCTTGATTTAACGAAGAAATTAGGCTCATACAAGATAGGTGCTGAATGGGAGATTAAAGATGCTGGAATGAGAGGAAATATTGTGAGGTTAGTTACATAGCCTAGTGCCCGGGACACTTACCTGATGGAGGAAAGCATAAGCTGTGCTTCCTGCTTCATGGAATTCTCCTGTCTTAAAATTAATTCATTATTCATCTTCTGTCTTAAAATTAATTCATTATTCACTGGAAAAAAGTACAAAGCCCATCCAAGATCCACTTCCCAGGTGAGTGCCCTTACCACATATAAGATGGTTTTGCTCCACCCCTCCCCCCAAAAAAATTTCATTAGAGCTTAAAGAAGTGATAATACTATTTTTATTGCGTTCTTGTCTTTGTGAGATTGGGTTTTTTATGTTGCCCCGGCAAGTTTTACGGAGAGAAGGAGATGGCTGTAACTTAGCTTTTTGCATGCTTTTATCACAAAACTCTTACGTGATGTGAGAGTGAGGTTTTCTGAAGTTATCAAAAGCAAAATAAAATTTTGTGATACAACTTTCACCAAATGCTAATCACAGGTAGAGGATTATCAGTATAAAAGAGTTTGTATTGATAAACAGATAAATGATAAAGATATCGGTAAGGGTTTATATTGATAAGAGCCCATCAGTGATATTCATTAGGACCTTTTAAGGAAAATTAAGATACTCAATTTCTAAATATTTTTTTTAATGTTGTTTCTTCAGGCTCTTCCCATTATTTCACTTTTTTTCTTCTAGCTTTCTTGTGTCCCCATAGGCCAATTATCCTCATACTTTAAATCACAATGGTAGGGAGCAATCTTTCACTGGCGGAAGATTTATGATGTTAGCATGGTGACCTAATACGGTAAATGTGTTCTATTTCCATCCTTCTGTAATCCCAGAAATCCATGAGTCACACTAAGGATGTCTGGCCTTATGCCTTCTCCTTCACTGAATTTTATGACTCTCTGAGTCTCCCTTCTGTTTTTGAAAGCTGTGTGTACAGTCACCTGATGTGCATCATTGCTGAAGCCCTTCGTCAGAGCGAGCTATTGAAGAGGCAGCCCTGGCTGTACCTGACCAATTATCTACGCTCTCCCAAGCACAATTACATGTGCCCTAGATAGATGTATTAACATTGTTTTGACAGATGGTTTTGAA